ATATTTCGTTGTGAAAACGAATAAGGGAAAAACGACGACGTTATGGGAAAAATTGATCTTACCATTAGAAAGAGCTCGAAAAACCACATCGGATTCTGTTGTGTTTGATTAAAAGTCCCCGGGGCGAAGAATCTTGAATATGATCTTGTACGTTCATACAAGATCTTGTAAGATCATATTATAAGATACCACAAGATTTCACAAGATCTTACAAGATTCCGCAAGAATCTTATAAGATTTCACAAGATTTTTCTTACAGTAAGATCTTGTGATAAGATCTTGTATGATCTTGCAAGATCTGACGATAAGATCGTGCAAGAAGTGACAAAATCTTGAAAGATTTCATAAGATCATATAAGATTTTGTCTCTGATTCTGTACTATAGCTCCCCTACAGACCCTCTTTAAAAAATAGCTTTTTTCTTTTCATAATATTTTCGAGTATAGGAAGGACCCTGACGTCCTTAGTAACGTGTCTAACCACCTTTCTTATAGCGATGCACTTTATTTGTGCTCAGCTGATGTGTGCAGTTGGAGAAAGAAAAAATTCTAAGTTTCATCATAAGAACTATGTTTTATACATACTATATATCGTTGCAAAATTTATGTGGTAATAGCGCCTTCCACATCGACTGTCTTGTCCTAATTTTTCTTTTTCGATAAACGCATATATTGAAACACAGTTCTTTCTGATGTGTAGACGATATACAAGCATATCAAAATCTGATGTTTTTTCTAGAGAAAAGGCCTTCAGAATTTTTACATATTCGGAATCAGCTCGACGAGTTGTGTTGTACGGCGTAAAGATCTCATCGGAGTATCCGCGTTTTTTGGACCCGGATTCACCACTGTGGGTTTTCATAGTATCTCACACTATATTCAACTGTAGATATCAAAGATGCCGCTTTTTTTCTACTGTCTTTTATGGGTGAATCCATGGGTATCCAACCACTTTTTGGAAAAAGTTTTTTTATCGGCTTTTTTCGTTCTAGTTAGCTGGGGCGTGGTCAGAAAACAGCTTTGCAGAAAAAAATTGCTGACTTTCACCTTAAATGAGGGAGATCTGGAGCTGTTTCTAGGAACATCTAATGAGAGTCATCCAAGTTATTTCAAGATTTTGGGCTCATATTTTGCTCATTGGTAGAGGACCACTAGACTAGCATAACCTCCAAAGGATTCTTCTTTTGATTGAGATTTGATCGAGATATGAATGTTTCAAAACAAAGTATTTTTAGAAAAATTATAAAAGTGACATAAATGTCATTTTTCTCTGCTTTGATGTTTTTTGCTTTTTATGTACACTGTAAAGTGAGATATAAAGTAAGAAACGGAGACAAGAACAAATTTTGTGTTTTATCCTAAAAGAAGGTTCCACTCACTATGAAATTAGTGTATAATCTGGCTACTTCCCAGATTAAGAAGTTAAGAATGCTGAAGGTATCCTTCTCCAGTTTTTCCGGCAGTTTGAAGTACAGAAGCTGTACTCTATACCAAGCAATTTTTTCATAACAGGTACCGCCTCGTTTTTGAGTTATAAGACTGCCAATATCATAGATGATCGTATGAAAAAGCCAAATAATTTTTCAGAGAACTTCTAAGCTACCATGACTTTCCGAATTTCTCTTCGGGCCATGATAGTGAGATATAATGTATATAAAACAGAAATGAAAATAGTTAAAAGGCTGCTGTTATCTACAGTCAGTATCTTCTTGAAACCGCTATTTGTTTAATATTGGGTTAGACAATATTTAAGCAGTATCCGCATTTTTTTCAACACTAATTCGAAGTACATATGTATAGAACGTTATTTCTCCTTAGAGAACAAAATAAGGAAAGGCAGAAATATCCCACGTCTTGTAGAAAGAGAAAATCTCGACAAGTTCTTTAAAGATTTTTTTTCTTGTAAATTCTTGATCAAGATTTATTGATACTTCTGCACTTGATGTCCTTGAAAAAACTTGATCAAGATTTACTACGGTTCCAAGTCTGATGCATCTGGAGAATTCTGTATCAAGATCTTGTTGTTGTCTCTATCACCGTTTTTGTTTTGTAGTGCCTATATATATATATATAACAGCATCCGCACTGTAAAATATTGAGCAATCTTCAAGTATATTATGGATATAACGTTCAACGAAACAGCTTCGTTATTGTCTGAACGGTACCGTAAGAGCTGTGAATTGTGCAGTACAGTTGATACAGTTCAGTATACAGTACTGTTGGTACGGTGCAGTACTGCAGAGTGAGCGCAATAGAATCTAGTAGACAGAAATAAAAATAAATGAAAATAATACCTAAACAATCCAAAAACTATTCTACATTTATACAGATATCGAAAACTGTCAAAATTCTGCTAATTAATTAATAACCAATTAATTGCTTCGGCAGAATCAGTTACAAATCTTGATCAAGTTTTTTCAAGACAGATTCTGTAACAAAACTTGTCAACAATCTTGAACTGCAAGATGATCTCAAGATCTTGTCAAATATCGATAAATCTGCATAAGGTCTTGAAAGAACTGAACAGAAACTTCAGAAATCTTTCAAGCTTTTATCAAGGTCTACAGTCAAGATTTTTTACTTGGGTATATATAAATACACGCGCTTTGTGTTTAACGGAGAATTTTCCAGCTATTGATTCGTGCAGATACACTACCTTATGTTTTTTATAAGTGAATCACAATTTGCTGCATCTTTTAAAACACGCAACGGTCGTGATGCTAACATTTTTGAAGTTGCTAAAAGAATGTCATCATTCAAGCTATAGCGGCATTTATACTCATATTGTCTGGCACGGCAACTCCCGTTTCAAACTAATTAGATTTGAAGAAAAACATGTTAATGTGAACGTAAAAAATTACATTAACCAACAAAAGTTTTTTGATATCTCAATCGGGATATCGAATTATATCCTGTTCGGGATGTAAATTCAAACAATATCCCGTTCGGGCTATTAAAAACATCTAAGAAAAGATATCTCGATTGGGAAGTACATATCGATCGAGGTATGTCTCTGCATTGCATGATGGAGTTGTTCGTGTTAACAAATTTTCTCGGTCAAATTAACAGTTAGGAAGATTAGATGGGTCCTTAACTAAAGGAAACACATGTGGCTATAGCCTGATAGAGCACGACTTTTGATATTGCATTATTTTTTATTAATAAGAGGCGTGAAAGTCGATGATTTAGAAAATACTGTTTAATAATCGTAAAAGAAGACTTCTCATGGAAGAACTAGATCGAAATCTAAACATCGAACTCTATTATCCTTCAGCCACATGTATTAGCTGTAGTCTAAAACTAACCAGATACCCACCAGCTGTACGTTGTACGGAGAAATTTTGCAAATAATAAATGCACTAAAGGTGAAAAAATGATTTTAAGATACAGTGATGATGTTGGCATATGATGTATGTTCCAGAGCTTCTAGCAAAGGTGAAGTCCGCATAAGACGTGAAGGCCCCTAACTTTAGTTCCTCCAATCGGTACGAAACTCATCAGAATCACATCCGATCATCATATTCCATGATCTCGACCCTTCCGAGCGCTTTCAGTCTAATATACCCGACAGAATCTACTCCAAAACAAGGATTTAGCACCAACAGTATAACTGTAAAATCAAAATTCTCGGTAAACATCTAACATTAAGCCTAGTGCCATACATAATTCGACGCGCCTTGAAAAATTCTGCAAGCCATGTTAATAGGGAACTTAACAAAGCTTCGCAGAAGGTTTTATGGGTTTAATACTAGACTTTTCGATTAGTCGCGGGTACGCCAAGGAAAGTCTTGATCACTTTTTTCTATGAAACTAAAGATGATCTCTCATCATTCATACACCATTCAATGCTCGGTGAAATGTTCTACAATATGTGTTAATAAGAAACTTAACGAAGCTTCGCAGCAGTGTTTGGCTATTAAATACTGTGCCGTTTTAACCTAGAATGACTCCGGAAATTGTTCGCTACCTTTATTTTTGATTTTTCTCGTGAGCCATACAAACTAAAACAAATTTGAAAAAAGATTTGAACAACTGATAGAATTTGGAATCTACTGTACTGTATAAAAAGGTTCTATCAAAGCTTTCTAAACCAGGATCTGTGGAAAACCGAAATCTCAGAAAACCAGTAGTCCCAGAGTTCAGTCTGGAAATTTGTTACAAAAACTCCATTGTGTAGAGCAAACATTTCATGAAAAAAGGTCATAAAAAACTCGGAGACGTCTCATTTTCTTTAGAAATATTTACTCTACACAATGGAGTTTTTGCATGTGTTTTCCGTACTCCAACGCTTCTTTTGCATGCCTTTGATGACTGAGCCCCCCAGTCAAGATATTTTAGCTATCTCAAGTTGTGGATAATTTCAAGGGCTATCTATTCGTGTATTTAGTTAGTCTTTTCGAGTCAAAAAAAGTTGAAAAAGCAGCGTTAACTCATCATGTAGGCCTTGTTTTGAGGGTGCCGTTTGGGATAGTATTGGAGAGAAACTGACGGGATTTTAGTGAACGAATGTATTCGATTTTGCCTGGAATCGAATACTGGTAGTTTTTTTCTCAATACGAAACCACTTTTAGTCGAAAAAGTGAGTGGGCCGATCGTTAATCTTATGCAGATCCGTCCGTTGTTGAACAGTTAGTTGTTGAGACCCTAATAAATCTTCGATGAAGGCCAAATCATTATGCATTTTGACAGGAGTCATCTCTATTGATCTGATGACGAATTTAGCTCAAATACGACATTTCACAAAATGCTTGCATTTCTAACATGAAGATGGACCTTAAAAAACCATGTTTCTCCTTTTTAAAGACAACTTTCATTGATACATAGAAAAATGGAACAAGAAAGATGTAAAATGTCTAATGTACTTTTACAGAATGTCTTCGTCAAACGCTGGTAATAAGGACATATTAGATAAAAGATATCTCCTCATTTGTAGAAGTTTTGTTCCTGTTCTAATAGACTTGCATATTTTCTGCTTTAGGTTTCTTCTATAGTTGTCTTAGAATGGTTCTGGGTCTAATACTTGCAGCTGGTGCTGTTGGTCTTGGTGGTGGTTATTTAGCTGGAAAAAGTCGTGAACGTCGCAAAATTGCTAATGGATATGTGACGTACAACGATCAAGGTTACAGAAAGCCATATTCGTCGTCACCACGCTACGATGGTAATGGATATTATGGAAATCATCATCACGCAGGTTATTCGACACAGTACGCTAATGTTCATTGGTAAATCTGTAAAATACTATCATAACTTACATTAAGATCTGAACTAATGTTTATTGGTTTCTAAAGCGACTATGCCTGAGCGTCTGACTATTGATACTTTTACAATTACAAGAAATACTATTAGTAGTATTTAATTTCTAATTTCAAATACTTTTTGTATCATGCAAATACTTGTTCACTTTTTAGATTCTTGTACCATTCCAAACAAAAGAAATTTCGCACGCAACTCATGCGTTTGCTAAAGGATATAGAGCTGGCATGATTCAGCTGTAGAAAGTTCTTTTGGTTTCAATACAAAACTTGAGCAGAAATAGTGGACATCCTCAATCAAAATGCATTTTATAATGAAGCCGGTTTTTTTTAAAAATGTCTTTTTGTCAAAACATTTTAGGAAGATTAAAACCTGGCACTCTTTTTTTACAAAAAATCGGATTTTTGTATACCATTTGATGAGCTACATATGTACTTTCGAGTATATTAATTGTCCTAAATGCTCTTTATATGAAATAAAGAGGGTTGAAACATTATTACATGATTTAGAAATATATGCACATCATTTACTAATATAATACGGCTGAGCAAGTTTTCTTGTCTTCATCCTACACCAGAAGGTAAGGGCATAATAAACTAAACCAAAACACTAATAATCTATTATTGATTTTTTCTTACACAACAAGCTCACTTTTGGAAAATTATAGTGTACAGAAATCATTGTTAGACAAAAGCATTGATTTTTTTGAAATTCTACTAGGTTTGATAGGCTTACATTCCGTGACACAACTCTTATCCGTACAGGACTTCGACGCTTCTGCGAACAAGGCTTTTGTCCTTCTTTTATGATGTCATTTAATTCAGAGCAGTTAACATTTTCGTTTTATCTGAATATTAATATCGAAAGAGAAGTAATAAACACTGATGTAACATAGACTCATTCATCCCTAACATATTTGTTGTATTAATTAATGAGATGCTTATCAATCGACTGAAAAGTGTGTGCTGGCATGATAGACTTAAGTATGCAATTGACAAGTGTAACAACTATATTTCTTGATTTACTAAGAATCTTTATTAAGAAACTATGTTTCGAACACACTGCCGTAGTGCTTGCACATTCATCCATCTACACCACTTCTCATAAATTAATACAACAAATATATAGATAAATGAGTCTATATTACATCAGTGTTCATTATTTCTCTTTCAATATCGTTATATATGAGATAAAACAAAAAGTTAACTGTCCGGAGTTCCCATGGGAAAATTTTAGTATATAAAACGACGTGTACATCCGTGAATATCATGAAATGAACTGTGATCGCACGTGAACATCGTAAAATGGTGTGCGGACACGCGTAAAAAATATATTCCACTTGTGATAACGCGTGAACTGTTCACGGAAACTTTTCGAGTCATATTTTTCGCACGTGGTCACTAGTAAAAATCGCACAACGGTGTGTAAACACACGTGAAAAGGAATTCTCATTTGTGAACATGTGTGAAATTATAGAAAGTTCACATGTGACCACGTATTTGATATTGCAACTGCACAACCCCAACGACGTGAAACTTCGGCAAAATTTCCCCATGGGTTAAATCACATTATAAAAGACGAGTAACAGCCTTGTTCGTGGAAGAGTCGGCGAATCTTTACAGCCTGTATCATGCATTAAAATGTTATGAAAGCACATGAACCTGATTTCAAGGATCATGTATAGTATGAATTGCTTGACATCTGATTTGTAACATAAACAGTATCACGGCTTGTCCACCTAACGCGACACTTCGCTGATCAAGTTTATAAAAAAAAATTTTCGCTTTCGAAAATTTTGAACACATCACTAGATGTAATTTTTAATTCTAAGAACCCGTTTAAAACGCTTTTTTGATAAAAAAAATTGGTTTTTGAACATTTCAAAAATCGGATTTTCTATTTTTAGCCGAGATAGTTATTGAAAAATAAATTTCTAAACATATGGTTTCGTAGAAAATTTAATTCTCTGCAAAATGGCGTATTTGGTTTTGAGCTTCAGCGCTTTAGAAAATTTGTACATATTTGTACATTTTCCGACTTAATTTACAGTTTTTGACCCTCCAACGCGAGGTAGCGACTCTATTCTTGCGTATGTCGGCCGACTGTAGCACGAATAATTATCTGTATAATATCAAAATCTTCT